TTTTTATTTTTATTATTTTTTAATTCGAGGGCAATCTTGCCAAGGTACCAATGCGTTAACCTTACAGTATCATACCTGTCGGTGTGGATTGGATCTTAGTCATGTCCCTGTTCGGGCGCCATGTAATCGGAGCGAGTGAGGAACCAGCGTCTCTTCAGGATCTAACCCTAGGAGGCGCCTTTACCTTGCTCTATAACGCAGACTCCCTGGTAGGGCCTGGCTTTCTGTAGCGCTAGTCCCGACCTGCCTCGTGCTGGGTCTGAGGCTAGCTAAGTTTTGTCCCTGCCTAACGTTTTTCCCCTTGGTGTGGCTAATCCGTAGAGAAGCAGAAGCTCTAGGTGCGATATACCAAAATCAGTCTACTTTTACTACTCACCTCAGCCTAGGGCCGCCCTGCCCTGTCCAAGCGTTCTTCAAGGAAGGTTTTCAGAAAGTGTGAAGCGGAGTCGGAAAAGCTGTCTTTCGTGAGTCGGGGCGACTTTTATTTAAAGCCAAGCAAGCAAATCGTCAATCCAAGTTTACAGAGTTACAAAGGTCTCGCGCCACAAGTCTCTCTCACAAGGACCCCTGAATGAAAGCCTCCGGCTGCTCTCGTCTGCGCTGCGCGCTGCCCGACTGACTGACTCTCTCCAAGTCTTCCTTTTTATAGCGCATGCAGCCTTCAAGCAGCGGAAAGCCCCCTTAGCATTAAGGATGACCTCATTCAGGAAGTACATGTACATATATGGGCAAGGAAGGAAATGCATATATGGTCATGGCAGGAAGGATGTACATATTTGGTCCTCCTGCTCGTATGAACTGTCCCCCAGTTATTTGAACTTTCCCCTAGATAGCACAGAGGCTGCGCAGAGAAATGAACTTTTACCCAGTTATTTGAACTTTCCTCCAGTTTAGCACCGAGGCTGCGCAGAGGAATGAACTTTTACCCAGTTATTTGAACTTTGGCCCAGTTCTTAAGCATATATGATCTTTCCTTGCCGTGAACTTTAACACACTTAAATGAACTTTAATCTAGTTAGCATAATGTTACATAAATCACATTAAATCACATTACATTTTATTAAATCACATTACTGACCATCAAGATCACTATTTAACGCATTTTCCTTACGTTTCACACATGATTATAAAATGTTATTTTGTATTACATCACAAAATCATATTTTGTATTACACACTCTAACCCTAACCCTCTCATGTTATCACTATCCTGGAGTGAGACACTCACATTATGACAATCTGCCAATTGTTAGTCTTATTAAAATGTTGTGAGCTTGTTTCTGACATGTATAATTATACTTTGAAAACAATAAAAAACATTTGATTCGAAATTCATTGTCAATATATTCAATGTTTTTTAAAATTCAGTGTCCAAAAATTAAATGTTGAAAAAAATTCAATGTCCAAAAATTTGTTGCATTTTTTTTTTTGCTGGTTGAAATGTCATGTTTGATTTCTGGGTAAATCAAGAAAGAAGCAATTGATCAGCCAATCCTCCATAGATGTAGCCAGGGCCAAAACATGACTTTGTTCTGTTCATCTCAACATGGTGTCCACCAGCAAACCGGTAAGTGCGTTTTCTCATTAGTTGGTATGTAACACGCAAACCAACATGTACTTTCTGACCATGGGTTTACCTTAGCTTATCATTAGCTAGCTCCGCGTAGGTGGCTTCTATCTTTTGGCGATTCCCCAAAGCTAATCTTCACTAATGCTAAGCTAACATTAAACGCAGGAAGGCCAAGTACATGGGGGTTTGCAGTTCTTGTGTGACGTACGTACAATTTCAATGTGTATATTATTCTAGCAGTGCAGCAAGGACGAGATTATTCAATTGGTCAGAAACCTGCTGACTGTCCTAGAGACAGAGCATGCTAAGAGGTTGTTGTTCATTTTTATTTATCTCGACTTTCGATAATTATTCTATCTTTACTCTTAGATTTTGACATCTTAGTGAACCAAGAAGGATAGGTTCAAACCTACCGATTCAATATTAATGCAACAGAGAGGAATCAGACTGATAGATCTGGTTTCAATTTAGTATATATTTTGTAAATCTCACTCTACCAGCCTCCTGTTAAAGACTGGGAATGTATTTACATTTACTGTTGATACTACATGTTAAGTTAGTGAATAGTGTTCATGTGTGTGTAAAGGCGTACTACTTCAGCTTCTCCTCAGAGCGTCGGTTTCTACTCTACTACTGTGTATTTGTATTCATGAAATTTGACTGGGACAGTACATGTATATGAACATATGGTTGAACATATACAGTGGGGAAAAAAAGTATTTAGTCAGCCACAGATTGTGCAAGTTCTCCCACAATAATGACAAAGGTCTGTCATTTTCATCATAGGTACACTTCAACCGTGAGACAGAATGTGAAGAAAAAAAAATCCAGGAATTCACATTGTAGGGTTTTGAAAGAATTTGTTCTTAAATTATGGTGGAAAATAAGTTTTTTTCATTATTTTAAGTGAGAGAACTTGCACAATTGGTGGCTGACTAAATACTTTTTTGCCCCACTGTATGTCGACATGTCTGATTGTAGCAAAAGGCTAATTTAAATCCCAGAAGAACCGGGTCTGTTTAAATTAATAATTTTTGTGTGAATTTCTTTTCCAGAGGCAGCTGTCTTCCAGAGGCCATCATTTCTTCATCCATTTCCATCTCCAGCTTCTGTGGATTACAATACAAACTAGAACAACCAATATTTAAATTTTTTATTAATTAATTAAGTCATGGATAGTTAGAACACATCTCATTTTCTGAAGACGTATGCAGCAGTAACAGCAGGTGCCTGGACGTCTGCCTCTGACACAGCTGTTTTTCCTACGGTACACTCATCACTACCTGGAATAAAATAAAAAGATTATGATTTACACTGCAAAAAGTCCCTTGCAAGAAACAAGACAAAAAAACCTCAAAAGAGGACAATTCTGCTTATATTAATGTAGGGTGAGAAAATGTCTATCACACATAACTTAAGTTATGTACCTGATATCGGAGAATTGGATAAAAACAACCATGTAATAAATACAATAATTGATAATAGCTTTATTTAGGGGCACCAGGGAATAACTCCCAACTGATAACGTGCATATGACGTCACAATATCAATTGGCTCATTTATTAAGTAATCTCATGAGTCCTTTCATTATTTAATTAGCTAATTAGTCCAATTCTCTTCAATAGAATCTGAAGGTAGTGAATTCTCTTACAAATCAGTGACCCAATTTCTGGAGTTAAAAGTACAAATATCACTTTCAGACAAAGATGGTTTTGTAGATATAATGAAGTATACACAATACAGACTATATATGAAATATGCAAATTGTCAAGAATAACATGAAGGAAACGTTGATTTCAAGATACATTGTTAAAATGCTAGGCTAAAGTGAACTAAGCAAGACCTTTGTCTATGAATGGATTGGTATAGGCTGAGGCCTGCATGTGTTCAGCCTTGGTAGAAGTATTCTTTGAAGTATAGGTTTTAATAAAGCCAACAACTGTGTGTAGCAAGAGAGCAGATCATACAACCAGAATAGCCTTTGGTGAATAGCAGTCCTTGGGTCTTGATGGTGTTGGATGGAGGCTTCTTGTCCACGGGGCCTGGACCATGCGGCTGCATCATGTGGCTGAACCAAGTCCTCCCACGATCCACAGTCTAGGTGCCAAAACTCAGCAACTTCTTCAGGTTGAAGCTGGAGGCTATTGAAGGGTTGTGGAAGTCCTCTCAAACGTGGAGCTGAGGTTTGAGGCCATCTAAGAGGCCCAAGGCCCCTTGGTTGCCTGAGCAGAGCCCAGGGAGGTCTGGTCACTCCGTGGTTCCAAAGCAGACTGGTTTGTCTTCCCTTGTTTTAGAGTCGTTGGGGGAAGGGTGTTGCCATGGCACTTATCTCAAGACATTCTTACCCACAATAAAACCTGAACCACAAGGATTTACACACAGTGGAGACAGAAGTTATAATATGTCTCAATATACAACAAAATGTCTTTGATTGAGGAAAGAGGTCATTTTAATTTATCCTACATTAAGCAAAAAAATATGCCAATGGGGTAAGACGTTTTTCCTTGTCTAGAATTCTTGTTTTAAGATTTTTTTTCCTAATGTATAATGGGAAAAAAACAAGAATTAATTTCTTGATTTAAGCAATATTATTCTAATGAAAAGGTCAGATAAGCAAAATATTCTTGTTATTAAAAGAAAAACAAGAATATATTTATTTAAGCAATTTTCTCAACAAAAAGGTCAGATTTAAGCAAAATATTCTTATTATTGGATAATTTCAGGAAATAATGCTTAAATAAATGTTTGATTAAAGATATTTTGCTTGTTTTATGCTCTTTTTTTTGCAGCCTTTTTCTAGTTATAGACTGGTTTTAAGCAAATTTGGCTTAATAAGCAAAATAATATAAGCAATACATATGTTTTGATCAAAGACGTGAACACAAATGCGAAGGACAGGTTACACATGGAAGGATAATAAAGAGACCACAGACCAGGAAATAAGTGTAAATTGCCGGCTTATTATTGAAAATAGACGAAAGACAATGGACAAACAAATAACATTAAATTTACCACGCTTAACCCTTCTAATTAAATCCTTGCTTTGATTTTAACCTTGGTTTAGTCTTTAGTATCAGGTTGCAACCTTTTATTTTAGTTTAAATTCTCTTTCAGTTCTCAGTTGAGATTTAGTTCGATTGATTGAGTTGACTCAGTTTAGTTCAATCTAGTGAATTTCAAGTATTGTAGTTACCCTTCAAAATGTTTGTTTCACCATTCAAAGAAAAGTGGATACAATTCAGTGATAATCCTTCAAAATACAATACAAAATATTAACTAAAAATGATTCAGCAAAAGACTGAATAAAGCTGTATACCACAGTATCAAAATAAAAATAGTGTTTTTATTCTTCAGACTCCGATTTACTTTCTTTGAATTAGCAGTTAAATGTTCTCGAGTCCACTGCCACTTTGCAGAAGTTTGGGTGAATCCTACCAGTTCAGAAGGAGTATGAGTTCAGTCCAACAGAGGGTGTTAACTCTCAGATGGATGTAGTTCAGAAGGTCCAGGGAAGGCTCGCCATCTTGTTTCAACCTCGTGCTCAGAGATGATATAAAGTTGGCTATTTCTCCAACCCACTCTGAATGGCCTACCGTAAACAACATAAAATGTGCATAAATACACTTAATACATAGTCAGGTAGCTCGAAAATAAAGAAAAGTCTTCTCTCTGTCTCAACTGGTGCTTGCAAAATGGCTGCTATCAGCACTAGTCCAGACAGTGAACTTGTGCACACTTGGGTTAGTCTTCGCTAAAATTTGGATTGTGTGCTAATATTCTACTAGAAAATAATCTTAAATAACAAATATCAGCACTTAAGCTTCACATTTCCATAAAAATATTATTACAAAACAGATTTACATTAAAACAAAATACATTTCTTATTTTCACTCACCAAGTCCCGATTCTCCACAGTACAACTTGCCTCGGGCACAGGACAAGGTGAAAAACCAAAAATACTCTTCTTTAACTTTCTTTCAAACAAAAAAAATATCTCTCTACGACACAAGACTCAAATATTTCTTCACAAAAATCAGTTTTAAACACTTTTTACTCAAATATCTTTAAACTCTTATCTCCTTCTTGTCTCCTTCTCTCCTTCTGCCCGCGTCTGCTTCTGGCGAGTTCTAGAACAATCCGGTTGGCCGTTGCTAGTCACATGGGACGTGCAACTACTTGTCTTTCAAAATAAAAGTACAAAGATATTTTTTAAACAAAACAACCATGAATTTGCATATTTTTTTAGCCTGTTGAGATACTAATGAATAGAGTAATATATTATAGACGTTTTGAATGACCATTTAACATATCGACATATTTATTGACTTTTAATCTGTTGTAGTTATTGATGTTTTATTAACATGCTTTTACTTTGACGGTCACACTATTAACCTGGGTTACACCTACTTAATCTGTCTCACATCCAATAAAATTGTATGTACTTTATTTGAACAGGGACAGTGTACAGTTAAGCATTAACACAAAAGGAGAGATGCATGTACCAGGTTATAGCAGAGATGCTAATATCCAGCGGTAGTCCCTGGGCAGGCCATTGTTATGTTCATTTAAACTGATTACAATGTAGATGGATACATGACCGTATCAAATCAATATGAACATTCTACAGAAATTGTAGAATGCGTAATGTAGCCATATATTAAGTATTGATCCTTTTTTTCCCAATAAAACTAAAAGAAATGGTTTTTTAATAAATCGATACTTAGCAAAAGCATATTGATAATCGATTGTCGGAGAAAGTATCACGATACATCACCAGATTGATATATTGTCACACTCCTACTGGCTACTATGTGTTTGTTATTACTGCATTTGCACGATTCTCTGATCTGTTGTTGAGGAACCGACAACTTTGTGAAGTCCTCTGAGACGACTGCTGCTTCAAGATATACACTAATAAACTGAATTGACTCACCGACACAAGTGGATGAAAAAGGTAAACATACAGTATTACACATTGAATATTTGAATACTAAATATGTATATTATGAATGTTAGTATTATTATTAAAAACATAGTTAGCTATTGTTAAAAGATGAAGAGGAGACAAAGGGTTTCTTTCTGACACACTCGACGGGCAAGGTGACACCGACCATCACGAGTTACTGACCTCGGAAAACTGCAACTTTTACAGATCAAAGCATCTCCAGGAGAGTAGAATAAGCTCTGTCTCCTTTGAAGTTATAAGTTACAATGTGCTACAATTATTCAAAAAGTAAAAAGAAAGAAAAGGCCAGCAGTAAACATGTGACTCCCTTTTCACGCAGACAGTGGGTATCATTGCTTTGTTCATGATCCACAGAGCTGAGGCCTGCGTCGTTTCCAATTCAAAGTCTGTTGGTACTGTATGTAATCTGCCATTATTTATACTGCCAGGCTCTGGAAAAGTTACTTCTATAAAAAAAAAAACAGTGTTCATGTTTTTTGCTGCAATCAGAAACACACAGGCAAGTTTCCCACAAATAGACTCACAGACGATAAGCTATTAAGGACTTCAAAAATAGACATCAGTGAGAGAAGATGAAAACAATAAACATAACTTTGAACTTCATAGACTTCTTTCGGTCAAACACAGGCAACTGAAAACATAAGAACGGTTGTGTAAAGCTGGACACTTAGACCATTTTAAATAATTATAATATTATTCATCAGACAAGACAAGGAGAGGGTAAAATAGCTTTCCCTAAAAGCTGCAGCTTGAGTCCTGACTAGAACCAGGAAGTATGATCACATTAGTCCAGTTCTCAGGTCTCTGCACTGGCTCCTGTGGCTCAGAGAATAGGCTTTAAAGCTAGTTTTAGTGCCATTTGAACCAGCTCGGACTCTGAGGAGCACAGGGACTGGCCTCCTGCTGGGACTCTGAGGAGCACAGGGACGGGCCTCCTGCTGGGCCTCTGAGGAGCACAGGGACGGGCCTCCTGCTGGGCCTCTGAGGAGCACAGACGGGCCTCCTGCTGGGATTCTGAGGAGCACAGGGACTGGCCTCCTGCTGGTGCCCAGAGTCAGGACTAAACATGGGGAGGCCGCATTTCCGATCTACGCTCAAATCCAGGTTTACATACTCTTTTTAATGTGTTTGTGAATTTATATTATATTTATATTATATTGTTGTATTGGAAGATCAAATACAACAGGGGGAGCAAAGCAATGCACTACACCCACAGTCATTATCGCACAGTCACTCAGAGCAGAGAGTTTTGCAGTGTCGTGTTTGCGTATATATCAAAATATCACATAATGAACCCTTTCACAAAAACAAAGCCTTAATCAGTAAATGGAAGGTGAATCCATCTTTTCAATTAACATTTCTAATTGCAAACATAATTATCCTGACTGATTGACGTTCCAGAGCAGATGCCTGGTTGTCAATCTTGTCATGGCTCCGTCGTAAACATGCACTAAAACAACACGCGAGTCCAGCGGCACTCTGAACAATCTCATATCTGATCTGCCGCAAATCAAATTGGGTCACGGCCTTCTTGCGCTGCTATGGAAACCGTGTCAAGCGCTCGACCGTGATTCGCCAATCCTAAATAAACGGGGAAATGTAATGGAATTGGCTTCTTCGTCGGAGAAATGGGATAGAAAATGAAATTCATTAAGGTGGTTTGATTTCTATCCATCTTTAAACTATCTCTGCTTCTGTGGGAAACGTACGGAGAGAGAGGCACCTTTGGCCGCTGTGGCTAATTTAACCTTTGTACATTTACTGTATATAAGGTGGCTGCACTCTCGCCTCTCAGCAAGAAGGTCCTGGGTTCAAATCACGGTCGGAACAGGGCCTTTCTGAGTGAAGTTTGCATGTTCTCCCCGTGTCTGTGTAGGTTTCCTGTGGTTGCTCCGGTTTCACCTACCACTAAAAACATGCTCACTAGGGAAAATCCTCCAGCTCCGGTAGTCCTGACCAAGCCAAGCATCAACAATTGGAGATGGGTTCCCGGGCGCTGTTACTACGGCGACCACTGCTCCTGACGTAAACCTTAGTGGCATCAGGATGGGTCAAATGCAGAGGACAAATTTCCCAACGGGGACAATAAAGTGCACATTTATACAAGGTGTGTTTATCTATTTTTATTCATTTTTTATTTTAAGTAAGTAAGTAATATTTTGTTATATAGCGCCTTTCCCAGACGAGAGTCACAAAGCACTTTACAAATTGATTGATTTTTGGGCATTTTGTCTCTCACGCCGCTCAGAGATGGGAGCAAACAGGACATATTGTTTTGAGTGGTAGGGGAAACCAGAGCAGCTGGAGGAAACTGGAGCACTAGGAGGAAACTTACGCAGACATAGGGAGAACATGCAAACTCCACACAGAAAGGTCTGAAGGTGGAACCCAGGGCCTTCTTGCAGTGAAGCACAAGCACTAACCCCACTGTGTCACCGTGCCGCCCGTTAGCTTCCATTAGCACTTGTGGCTAATGGATCCACTTTAGCTTCAACAAGTGTTCGCTAGTCTTCCTGAGGTCCACTTTACTCCGGATCAATTGCAAAAGTTCAAACATACAGTATAAAAAGAGATTGCAATACAAAATAACTCACATCTTCATTCAACGTTCATTCACACATTGTTGTTTGTAGTTTTTCTTAATATCTAACCAGTTGAGCTACGTCAGCGATAGCATTGTTAGCATGCATCCTCAGTACAATGAGCCAACACAGAACTTCTCAATACTTCCTCAATTATCTTAGACTTCAGTTATTGAATTTCTAAAGATTAATTTCGATGTAATTTTGGTCATTGTGATATCAAAAGACTCCAAAAGAATCCAATGTGAAATGTTAGTGTCGATGGCTACTGTATTTATCAGACTCAGGACACACAAAACATGAACAAAAACAGCATGTATAGATCTTAAAACCTCCTTCTCGATTATAAACGGATCTTTCATTGAAACAACAGCAGATGTCAGTGATTTTCCACCTCGTGTTGTGGTCGTCTGAAGGTCGAAGCAAACTTATCTATCTCCAACGTGACAGATGCTTCGGGGAACGTCTGTACTACACCTGAGTGAATGTGATGTTGGAATAACAATAAACACGGCTGGTATCTTTCCACACATTGTTTAAAACATTAATTATATTTGAACATTGAATCTATTAAGTTGAGTTATTGTGTACTTTATCGTCCCCTAAACATTATGCGTCCTCTACATTTGACCCGTCCTGAAGGCAGCACCTGGGCCGATCTCCAGATAATATGAGGTAGTAATTGCCTGAGCTTTTGCATTATTTTCTCCTTCCAAGGGAGACATTTCTTGTATCTTTTTAAAAACAAGATAATTTGGCTTGTCCCATTGGCAAGTCTTGTTTTAAAGCAGTCAAAATGTGCTCAAGTTAAGATACATTTAGCAAAATTTGAGCAATCGTAGAGGCTAGCTTCAGAATTTCACTCTGAACCAGAGCAGAGAAGATGATCCGAACCAAGCAGACTCTGCAGATATCAACCAGAGAAAAGGAAGCAGCTCATCATATTATTATCCGTAACTTTTGGAATTATGAAGGTCGTGAGTTCGATCCCACCTCGACACCCGCTCCACTGACTCCCTCTGATGACTGCGGTCGTTGTGTCCTTTGGCAAGACACTTAACCCCACTTTGCCTGAAGCCCCCACTGAAAGATCAAGGCTATGCTCACACAGACAGAGCAGCCGTCCTCCTGTGGACTCACCACCTGCAGAGGATCAGTGAGGGGCTGGTGCTATGAGACTTCCCCCCGACCCAGAAATGGATTAAAGGGTAGAAAATGGATGGAAACTAATCAAACACAAAACTCAGGAACCAGGAAAACAGGAAGTAAAACAAAAACCCAACCGCAGAGAATTGATGGGGTATGTAACAACACAAAATACACATCATGACACTATCTATCTAAACAGATGAATTATTATTATATCATAACTATTAT